CACTTCCCAACCCTTCCTACTTGAACATCTTTGCCTGCGTTCTGTAGCGATGAATAGACGAGCGGGCGCTTACAGAGGCCGCGCGAAGGCGAAGCGCAAGAAGACACCCGACGCCGAGCATGCATCAAAAGGGGACCCGAAAGGCTTTGGCAAACGTAGCCCCGGTGCAATGGTCATTCGCCCAAGGGGTTCCGGTAGTCGGTGCCTTGACAGCGAAGATTGCGATGGAGAGGATACTGCATCACTCGTTCAGTCGCCAACTCACGACAGTGTACCGTCGCGTAAGAGGGGTTGATAAGAGGGTGCCGATGTTCCCCGAAGAACATCCCCGCGTAAAATGGCAGCGGTTGAAGAAGAGGATGATGAGGTCGTCGCCGAGACTCCTCCCCGCAAACGAGTTCGATTGTGTCCCTCGCCCGAAGTGGCTGCGAAAAGGTTTTGTGAGGAAGAGCCTCATAAATTATGTCCTTTCGAAGGGTGACATGTCAACGTCCAAGGGTAGGGGCGCGCCAGTGAGTCGAGGGTTAGAGGGAGCAACAGGAGCGATGTCTGAGGAGGCAGTGGAAAGACAGACACTTGGAGAAGAGATTGTGAAGATGGTGAACCAGCGAAACGTGCAGCATATGAACAAGTCAAGGGCGTTTGTGAGGAACGAGTTCTTCATCGAGATGTGGTTTCATGGTACGGCGAGGTATCACCTGCATTCCTCTCCAGCCTTGTGAGCAGTCCGTTGCCTTTCAAATTCGGTGAAGTGCCCCTCGCCGAGGTTTGAAAATCCGGAGTGGAAGAAGCGACATGTTCTGAGAACATGAAGAAGTGGCGCGAGCTTCTCGATGCACGCCGAGAAGACTTGTCGATAAAGGTGGAGTATGAGGTTGAAGTGTTTCAGGAAAAGCCATTAGTTGGGAGCGGGGAGAACAAGACTCTACGTCGGAATGTGAACTTTCTGTTGGTGGCACTTTTGTACCGCCAACGATTCGTTTACAGTTTGAAGCCTGATGACTTCTTGGCCTTACATTCGCTCTATGACGGTAGTATATGTAATAGCCTGTTTGTTCAGAGATATGGTAACTTTGCATCGCAACAACTCAAGAATCTTATCTGATGAATATCAGGCGGACTTCGCCGACAGGAGCATTGAAACTTTCGCTCTAGATCTAGTCCTTGCTACCGCGAAGAGTCGTCAGAACCTTCTGTACTCCGAAGTGCTTCGTTTGACGACAGAAGATTACAACATAATGAGCTTGAATGAAAGGGCAAATGAGGATGAAGGAGATGAGTATGGGAGCGATCTCTCCATCGGAGCCGAAGAAGATGCAAAAAGCGAGAAAATGGATGAAGAGATAGTTGCCCTGCTAAAGGTATCATTTAAGTGAGTAAAGACATATACATACCGTGAATTGTTGTAGTGTAAGAATGTCTCTGTGAGGGTAAAGATTAGGGAACTACACTTTTATGAAATACGTCACAAAATTGCAGGCCTCTTAAAGTACAGGGAGTTGTAATAAATGTCTCTGGAGTACATGATATTGAATGGGGTTTGAAGAGAATGTTTCAATGCGTGATCACAAATCAACTTCGAAGGTGACGTTGGAACAGAGACTAGCAACTTCCTTGCAATGTATCTCATCCCTGACTAGGACGTAAAGAATTGTCGCCTCCAGTGCCCCAAGCACTTCGACCCGCTTGGGGGCTGCAGTCAGTAACCTTTAGATCAAGGTTTGATTCGCGCTTCCATGCGATACAAAACGAGAACCGTTCCTGCATTTTTTCAAATTCGTCGGTAGTGAGTACGGCTTCTGTCATGCTTAGGAGCTCGTACGGTTTGGCATTCATCAGGACTAGAGACTCCTTAAATATATTCTCCAAGCCACTCCACGACGTGTTTTCCTTGTTAAGACAAGAAAGTCTCTATCTTCCTCTGCCTGCGGCAATCCCTTACCCACTGTGAGGTACATACGAACCCAAGGATCCTTCTCACTTTGCACTAAACATCCTAGAATGCGAAGTCCGTTTAGTGATCCCGTGCCACGTTCCAGTTTTTCTTTGAGGACGACTCTTCTAAGCAAAGCAGAAGATACTGGGGCAACGGTACTTGCCAGGGACTCGAATGATGAGAACAAGATCGGAACTTATGCTTGCGAATTAGCCTTAACAATCTCATAATAAGGATGGATCATTGCTCTATCCCCTGGATTCCTGTGCACGTAGTCAAGTACATGATCAAACTGAGACCAGGTGCAATCGGAGCTTTGTTTGAAATGCTCTTGGGAGAAAAACTGAAAGCCTTCGCGTAGTTCTCCAGCAGCAAATCGAGAGAGAACTAACGGAGGCTTCTCTACGAACGGCGCAAGTCGTGACCGTAAGAAATCCAGTGGGAACAGATTCCCCCTCCCATCTTGTAAACTGGATATGGTCCGTTCAGATTGTAGACGAAAAAGCGCTGCACCGTGCTCCTTAATGATGCTTCGACCCTGTTAAACAGTTCGCTCTAAATCTTCATACTGTCTTCTTTCTTGCACAGCATCCTGTATTCCATCAAAAGGATCCTACGGTACTTCTGGCTTCTTCCGTTTCCCCATACTCTTACGGCGAACATATGGGTTGTAATCTTCGTCTTTCGTTTGCTCTTCGGCCTCATAAAGTTCTTCATTTCGCTGTGACTGAGAGTCTGATTCTGATAGAGAGGCGTCAGGAGAAAGGCGGAAGAACGAAAGCCATGCAAGGGAAAGAACCTTATAGAGGCTGATAGGTTCCGACCCTTGCTATCATGTGTAAAAGTAAGCTTCTCAACTGTGGCGGGCCACCATACAGATTCACTTTCAGAACCTTTGCAATCGAGAGGGTAGTAGAGTGTAGTGCAATAATCGGCTGCCCGTGAGGGAGTGAAAAGAAAAGAAATTGAGGGGTATGACAAAGTGGGGGGGTGACAAGTGAAAATTGTTTCACGTTATTATTTTACTCATTAATTTTAACGGAATTTCTGGACATGGCCGTCATAATGACCACGTAAATGGACATCAGCGTAAACAGTGAGATTTAACTGCAGTTTGGTGTTACGAGTTACTACAATACGACATTGTTGCCGCAGTTGATCTACGAGTGGTGAAAAGTGGACATATAAAAGTATGGCAGGACGGTGCTGGTGCTCCCATAGTAATGGCAATGCAGGCGGCAATGCTTCGCAATGGAAAAAGGTGGTTTTAGAATGTATAATGGCGGAGAGAGAACATACCTGACATGAAATGGCAAATGATGTATACTGCAGAAGCGAATATGCGAGACCATTGTCATCCCTTCGATGAAACAAGAGGAGACTGTAGTCAGAAAACCTAAACAAATTCAAGTGGGTTGTTTTCATTGGTTCCAATGAAAGTGAAACGGGAGTCATGCATGTGAGTCAATTCAAATCCATGCCAGATGCAACGTTTTTGCAGCCTGATGAGCTATCGGTCTCGCAAAGCAACACGCGGCTGTAGCGCGCGTTGCGCTGCACGACCGAGCTACTCCACTGAGCACGCGTTGCGCTGCACCTTCCAGCTGCGCCGTTGAGCGCGCACCGCCCTGCGTAGTCGAGCGGGCGCCGCGCTGCGCCGTTAACTTCACCGACTCGTACACCAGTGCCACGGTGGACTTCAGGGGCCTCTAGGGCATGCACTTGTGCTGCGAGCCCGTCAATCTCGTCGCAGACAATTTGTCGGGCAGACGAACTGTGACGCAGTGACAAGACTTTCATGTTGCCTGCATGCTATCTCTCACGGCTGCACGTCGGCGGCCCCCACTGGGCACAACGGAGTGCTTTACAAATACATTGCGGTGACGAACTACGAAGGCAGCGTCGGCGCTGGTGCATTTGCATGTGCTGCAAGCTTGCCAGAAGCAGCGAGCACAATTCGTGGCTCGACGCTGTACCGATTGTGTCGCTCGCGGAGTTCCACTCCGAGTGCCACGAGTCCCGCATGCGTCTGAGCGGCCCGTACAACGTGATGCTGAAGGAAGGTAATGTCTAGATGAGGAACATCGACGCTAGCGCGTGCTAAAGCTACAGTTCACCGCGCGCACGTCACGTTCTAAGTACGAAAGCCACTACGCGTCGTACGCCGCGTGTGTCGCCCGAAAAATCCGCTTGCGCGTTTAAAAACGCTCGGGCCGCTCGGTGTCACACCACGGTGGTACTTCATGTGCGATAGGCCTACTGGCCAACATACGTGCGAACTGACCTCAGCTGTCGTCATACTATGACGACAGCTGACGTGCGAACGGACCTCAGCTGTCGTCTTACTATGACGACAGCCGAGGTCCGTTCGCACGTATGCTTGCAGATTACATGAAAGAACAAGCAAGCGTTGAACATAAACCTGCAGTAAGTCAATGAGGAAGGTACGAAAGCATATCAGAGAACATGCAGGCTTTACTAAGACATCCTATCGGGCACTTATTACTTATCCGTTTCCTTGTCGGTAGATTCATGGTCTCCCGTTCATGAACAAGGGTATGCAGAAGTGTTTTAATTCCCTGCGTTTGTGCGAATGCGCTTTGCCACCTTGTCGACTGCCTACCGCTTGCGCTTGATGTTAGGTCGTCCGCGCTTTGGCGGCGCGGAGACAGGAACATGCAATGCGTTGTTCCTAGCGGTCGAGTATGCCAATACATCGGCCAGGGTCGGCACAACGGCTAGTTCTGTGTCCGGGAACTGCGTACGCAGACGCGCAGAAGTCAAGTCATTCGGCACGAGGTACATGGATGATACGCTCATGCTGAACGCAACTGCGAGCATGTGACCGCACGGCATGCGGTCCCGGCTTGGAACGCTGCATGTGCATGGGGTCTTGTCCGATGACCAGCGGCACTTGTCCGCATCATCTTCAGTAGGGATTCGTAAGCATACACGATAGACTACATTCCCTTCACACACGGCATTAAACACTTGCTGCGTCGCTGTGAATGCGCTTGAACTGGCTGAACCTCACCAGTAGGAATAACTGTGAGCAAGCGGGCCCTCACACGGGGGGTAGATGGTGGCTTTGCGCATGAGCCTTGTGAGAGATCTCCAGAAAACGCCGACTGTCCCGATCTCCTTGCCATATGATACTTAGTAGAGGATCATAGCAGCGAGCAGGCATAACAGCCGCGTTGTTTGACTCGACGCCTTGCGATGCTTCCTTACCGTACAAATTAGCACCGCTTGCCACAGCCGATGCGAGATACTGAAGAGCATCAGGTAGTCTCATCAGTGCTGCCTGAGTGGAGTCAGATAGACTATTGAACGCCGATGAGCTCGAAAGGCGATCAATCGAAGGGACTGTTGGAGCCTTCAACGGCTTTTGGAACATCTTGGAGCATTGTTTGCCATGCTTGCAAAGATTCCCAGCGCGGTGGTGAGCACAGGCGACATGAAAAGGCTGCGTCGATTCCATAAAGTTGCTACGCAGTCCGGCCACGATTCCTTTGCCGCCATTGCTTACGACAGCGGTGAGCCTGCCCACGATCGGAAATTGGGTGTGCACGAAAGCCCATGCACGAGTCCAAGTGTCCTCACTCTCGTTGCCGCTAATGTAGATGTATGCGATGAAGCGACATACAATCGGCCAGGCGCTCCAATCAGTTGGAACATTTTCGCGTGAGTATCCAAGAAATGTTTCCTCGAATCTATCAACGGTATGAGATCCGAGTTGTGAGCTGCTGTACGGTGTGCTGCGGGAACCCTGGAGGCCTTCTTGCGCAGGCCATCATGTTCTGCTTTCCGTACAGAGAATACAACGGCTTTCATACCGCTTCCGCCGAAGGTGGTATACTCCAAAGTGTGGCCGAGTGCTCTCATCTCCGCTTGCAAGACCGGTAGCATAGACATGTTGTCATCAGGGACGCCATTCGCCAGGACGTAGATGATCCTTCGCACTCTGGACCACTGGTCCGGTGGTATGTGCGAGGAAAATCTCACGAATGGGTTGAAGTAGGCCACCAGCGCTGCTTTAGAAATGGCGGGGTCGCTCTTAATAAGGTCTCTGCAGTGGTAGGCGAGACTTTGATTCGAATATGCCGTCCGCGATGCACCTTCACGCCACCCTTGCTCTTGGGTGCCATTTGCAGTAGTTGGTGAGTCACCCATCTCCCCAGAGATGACGCACTTGCGGACTAGCCAGGTCTGCATCTTCATACGGAATGAGGCTGTGATCAAAAAGCCTGTCGTATCATTCACATTGTGACGAGACTCTGCAACCGCCCTGACGTCGAAGCGTGTATTAATCGGAAAGCGAAGCGTCGATGCGAAATACTCGGCGACTTCTCGACAACGATGAAGGATCTCGGCTTCGGACATGAAGTGATCGCCAGACTGATCGTAATGGACAGCTCCACCTCTGGATGAGTTCACCGTAGAAAGGGCGCGGATTGGCAACCTCGAGTACGCATCACCATTCGCAGCTGCAACATACTCTGCGCGCTTGGTTCGGTACTTTGCCTGCGACTCTCGATTGAGGGCCTTTTGATGCGAGGCAAGCTTGGCCTTCGCACTTGTCGGGCTAAGGCCCGAAGTAGCACATGGCGCAGGTTTTGGGGCGGAAGGCGCAGCGTCAGCCTCGTCATCAGGTCCCTGAGATTGCATGAGTTCGACCTCGAGTTCTGCAAGGTCTTCGTCCTCAAGCTCCGGGAGACCTTTATTTTCGAGCTCGAGGGGTTCTTGCTCATCGGGCTGTAGGAGGTCTTTGTTGTCTTGAGAACCGCTGTGCTGAGACCTCCAGAATTCTATGGCGGGCGAGGCGCGACCCAGAGCGCGGGAGGAAGGAAGCAGTGTGGCGGGACCTCGGTGCTACGCCGGCACCGGAGGGCGTCCTGTCCATTGACGAAGGAGGCACAGGGGCCCAAAGAGGTCAAGACTCGTGAATGGCCAAGGTAGGGCGCTGTCGGGTGCGGCACACTCGTAAGGATGGGTATCGACGGCGGTGGTGAATGTCCGCCGACGACGGGAATATTCTTACATGCATTTCGCAACAAAATGAATAAATATTCGGCTCTTCGTATTGTCACCGCCAGGTTTGGTGTACCGACTACCGATGAAGTCCGAGAATGGACCGCAGCCGCCAATTCATTTCGCTATGTGTATCGTTTCGAAAAAATTGGGAGTTGAAATGCACTGTTTGCAATGAAAATCCAGGATGTGTGACACCGATTCCATTAAAATTGTGATATGTACTGCTATCCCAGAAATTATGGTGTGCTGACGACCGAAAAAGACTAAAATGCAAATTGTGTACAGTGATTTGCTTTCATGTTGAGGATTACGTTGACTCATTGTAGTGCAATACACACCTGAAAAAGGGGGGTGAAAAGAAAGGAAAATATTTGGATATGAAAAGTAGTCCGGGTTGGGGGACACACGTGTGAATAATTGCACAGTTTTAATTTTATTTATTTAATTTTATTTAGTTAATTAGTTGGCATTAAAATTGCTGACACTAGATTAGATCTAGGATCTGGCGCCGCGAGCTACTGTACTGGCTCCGGCGGGGCGATATATACCTTAGCCCTCTGACGACCAAGTCAGTAAAGGTAACCCGAGTTCCCAGAGTCTGATATCGCCTTGGTTGAAGTCCGTCTTTTACAAGACATTCCCTTTAACTACAGATTACTTTATCCTTTGCGCTCGGGGGTCCCCTTTTTCCTTACCAATTTTCCTTTACTTCCCTGTCCTAATTTCCCTTAATCTTGAGTTGGTCCCACCTTGTAGGATTGCGATCCGCAACATGACGTCATTTGCCATCGGGGTTCTGTGTTGGTGCACCAGTGGTGCTTTTCTCAGTGTTGGTTCCATCGGAATCTGGTTGCGACCGATCCGTTGTTGGTACTTTGCCATTGGGCAGTACGACGGTGTAGCGCTGCTACGTTTTCTTCTTTCCCGACGGGCTACGGTGCGACGTCCCCGTCGAAGACCTTATCAATGGTATAAGGTGTGCAAGGCGCTCTTCGAGCATTGGATTTACGACCCATCCGACCAGGTTTACCTAAACACCCCTCCGAACTCGTGGAGCAGTTGCCTTTACAAGTCTCTACCACCATTTACCGATCCCGGGCTGGGCCCTTTTCTTTCCCCCCCCCTATCAGGGATCCGAGCTACTGCGGGCCGCAAACCCGCTTAAAGAGGACAGGGAGCTTCGAACACTCTGTAGCGCTGTGCCGTTGGCAGTTGTTGTTTTTGTTGCTGTTGTTTGTGTTGGACCGTCCGACGTTGGTCTCTGCCTGACAGGCGCATTGCACTACAAAAGTGGTCTCCCGACCTAGAATTGTCTACAGCAAACCCGACCTAGAATTGTGTCGACGACAGCTTCGGTCTGGAGTTGCACTACAGAGGTAGCCTGGGTGATGGAGTCTCTTTTTATTTTTGTTTGTAACTTTTTTTGTGTAGGTTCGCTCGTACGAGCGATGTCGACAAGCGCACCCGGAGACGTCGGTCCCGGGGCGAGTAGGAGCGGATCGGCAGGGGCGTCGAGGATCCCGCGAGGTCCTCGCACCCGAAGCCAGGCCAATACGGCCACGGATCCCGAAGGTCAAGAATCCCCGACGGGGATTGAAGCCGACAAGGATAACCTATCCTACAGGTTCGAAAAGATGGGGGAGGAAATTCGCCAAGAGATGACTAAAAATCTCGAGGCTGAATTAGCCCTCGTCCGGAAGCAACTGGAGTTGCAAGCATCCGAGTTCCACACCGTTTTGGGAGAGCTGTCGGCTCGAGTGGATCTCGTCGAGAAGGAGCGAGGTGACGCGACCGACGGTCTGGAGCCGGAGGTCCTAGCCTCGTTGAAAATTTCAGTCAAGGACGCGAGGCGCGACGCGAATCAAGCCTTGGATTCCTTAGGAAAATTTAGAACAAGCATCGATGACCGATTCGATCGGGCCGCGCAACGTCTCAAGGATCTTGAGCAGGCCGCGGATCAAGCTTCGCAAGGATCGGACGACGAGCCGCTCCCTTCGGGTAGAGAGGGCGATCGTCGGTCGAAGAAGGACAAGCCTGCTCGGCAGCGGAGTTCCAAGTCGAAGCCCTCGAAGAAGGACAAGCGACGTACAAGCAAGGGTCACTGTAGTGACGATCGGGAGAACCGCGACTCACAGTCGGAGTCGCTTGGTCCCTCCGAATATGGTAACGGCAGTCCGTCGAGCCATTCGGGCGATTCCGAACGCCGTTCAGAAGAAGGAAACGGAATTTCGTCAAGCAAGAAAATTTCCTCCAGACGAGGCGGGGTCACTTCGTCCGCCTCGCGGAGAGACAAGGACGCAGAGTCTGAAGATGTCGCAACGCGGGGCGGGCCGCGATGGGAGGAGTTGGAGGAGCTGAATCCGACCAACTACCTCTTCAAGAAATTACTTTCGTACCGAACGTACTGCTTGCGGAACCCGCAGACATATTTGTCAAGTTCCCGGCGGACCGCCGTGTGAAAAATCAGGAGAGATATTCCGCCTAAGGTGAAAAAGGACAACACGTTCACAGGTGAGGACGGGGTCCTTGTGTTGGATTTTTTGGCAAAATTAGTTCAAGAGTTTGATACTCAAGAAATGAACGAGGGGCAAGCGATCGGCTTGTTGCCCGAATTTCTAAGCGGCATCGCCTTGAGACAGTACACTTCGGTGTCTCAGACGGCCGGGTCCCACCACGGAAAGGTATCCGTTTGGCCGGAGGCCGTACAGTGATTGTTGAGGAGTTTCGCAACCGACGAGGCGATCCGTCAAGCCGTGCTCGCATTGCCAGAAGTTCAGCAAAGACCGTCGGAAGACGAGATGGAATTTTATATCCGTCTGACGGACGCAAGCAATCGATGTGGAAACGTATACTCGATGGAAGAACAAATGACGATGTTTATTGAAGGACTCGATTCGAGTATCAAGGCGATGGTATCTCAATACCGACAAGACAATCGGGACGTTTCGTTTTTGAGACTAGTTAATTACGCGAAGGCGCATGGCTCGGCGAGCCGCGCTAAGGACAAGAAGACCAAGAAGGTCACGATTCAGACGCCGTCGACAATTAGGACGGGTAAGAAGCCGAGGGCTCCTTATCCCGGTCGCAAAAGTCACACCGCCGTCCATCTAGCAGAGTCCATATCCGCGTCAGATGAGCGCGGTGCGCATGGAAGTAGCGAAAGTCGCTACGAAGGAGCGTTAGTAGCCGAAGGCGAGTTCATTGAGCCATCGGAGGGCTACGGACACAAGGACTACGGGGACAGCGGGTCGTCAACTTTACCGACGCCCGCATACACGACGGAGTCGTTTTCAGAGCCCACGGATCCTGTGACGATGTTTCGGGGGCGCGGCCACACGCCGCCGCCGCACATTCCGATGGAAGACAAGGGTACGACGTTTCGAAGGCCAGGCTGGATGGGAAGGCCGCAACGTCAAGGAAGGCCGCCGGCCCGTGGAGGACCTATGA